TAAAGAAAAAGGAGAAAGAACTACTAAGAGTGTGGTTGAGCGCTACGAGAAGAACGATGCTACGAATTTCCATCAGGGACAAGCTGCGAAATGAAGAAATGAACAGTTGCACTGGAAATGCTGAATGTTGTTTCCCTTTCAAGAGAATGAAAATGACAGTGAGCAGGTCACATAGAATGCCTCATGGACGACAGATGGACTTCGGCAGTGGCGGGTTGGTACTCAAAGGTCTGCGAGCGCCAAATTCAAACCTTCGCTCAGAAGGATCGATGAGTGAGCTGAAAGAAGGATAAGAATGTTTATGGGTGCATGAGATGGATGAGCGTGGGCATCGAGGCCAGGAATCAGTCAAGAGTGTTAAGAAATTATATGTTCGTGACGAATTATCAGTTAATTATTTCATTTGTTTATTTAATTCTACGTACTGCTGGAGCTCGATGCCTCTGTAGTGTAATAGCTGGACCAAGGTTGATAATTCTGTGTCGAGTTTAGTAGTTTTCATATTTTTTCCTTTAAAAATGAAATCAGCGAGTCATAAGTAAAACAAAAGTTTTTAACTCCGATCGATCTGATTTCCTGGAGGATCAGTGTTCATGGTACGAGGCTCTGTGATAACACAATTTGCGATGGAGTCTGTGCTCCTCAATCATTATGACCCGAATGCCTATCGTAAACTTAAAAACAGTCAGCTAAAGAAATAGTTATAACCAGAATATAGACTGAATCGTTTATATTTTGAATGCATGGTCTGTAGAGAAACATGTCTCGTCCAGAATGCAATGTACTCGTGTTCGTAATCCATAGAGAGCACAGTGCTTCCGTTGAATTGCTTGGAAAGCGCACTGCTATCTCATTGCGGAATATATTTCCTAAGAGCCTCATTGTTGCACTCTGTTTGAGGCTACCTTAATGAACTTCCCATTCACTTTCAATGTCGCATGTATGATATGCTATTAATTTTTATACCGACCTTTGAGAAAAGCGGAAGTTGTGATTGTTCTGCTGTACAGCAGGGCTTTCTTTCCAATGTCCATGGCGGTCGATAGAGAGTTTTTAAAGGCTCGGTCCAACCAGTCGTCGATCGCCTCTTCGTGTAGCGTTAAAGTTGGGTGAATGAAGGTTTTGTATAGTATGGTCGCACCTCTCGTGTACGGCGAAAGAAGCCAAATCACGAAAACTATTTTCAGCTCATAGTAAAACGGCAGCCAAAACAGCAGCACGTCTGTCAGAGTCTCTATCCAGAGGAAGAGGGCGAAAACAATCCAGTACATCGTCCATCTGACATAATCGCGCAGTCGCCTTCCCTTCACCACTTTGTACGAATGATAGGCGGGAAACAACGCGCCGAAAATCAAAATCACCAATCGAGAAAGAAATATGGAAACCATCTTCATCGATCCGTGGCATTACCTAAATTTTCTGTTTATAACAGAGTAGTCTTTCGTGAAACAGAACAAGTCTTGCGTATAGACCTGTTTATTGTTGAAATCGAAAAGAAATTGGAGCAAACGGTCTTCAACATATGCTAAGTAGAAAGTTGGTATGATAGTCTGTTGTAATCTATGTGAAACCGGGCCTTTGGCTTAGAGTCTACTTCAGATATCTATCGGTGGCTAGTGAAAGCATTGGAAACGGGGACAAGGAGTTATTATCAATTATTGCTAAGTAAAACAATCATTTATGAGTAACTGATTTAATTCTACTGCCAGATACCACCGAACGGATTCACAATTAGAAACAAGTAGCAGAGGCACATGCCAAAGTCGAATTTCTTTATATTTGAACGATTTGTCGTAAAGCTCTTGCAGAGTCAAGAATTGAAGTGACTTTATGCATGACCATTCGAAGTTTATGCGTGAATTAGTTATTTTAAATAAACTGACAAATCGAAAATTTTACTTATAGGGAATTGGTTTCAAAAATATGCCACCTTACACCCGAGTACATAAACAAGCGAATAATTCAGCTAATTTGACCGAAGCAGTTTCACACCGTTTTGCATCCCCTTTATATTCAGGATTTCGTGGAAGCCATTTAGGCGGGCAACTGCTAAATGGTATTTCAAGACCCGCAGTGCATGTATGCATACCGCAGTATATATTCTCTGCAGGTGTTTAAACTGTGAAATGATGAATGACAGTAGTAGCACGATTTGCTGAAGCTTGCTTAAATTTACCCAGGCTTTGAAAGCAAGAGGAGATGGGAAACGGTGCGAAATCCGGGCATGGAAGAGTTATTCTCTTACTAAAAGGTTGTTCAATACCAAGCAATTTTTATTTCACTGAAGATAACAGCGATTGCACTGATGATTGTTGGTGCAGGACGTTATTTTGCAACCAATGAGCAACTCCGAAGTTGCAGCGGAGCTTCTGTTTCATAATTTTTCCACCAAGGTTATACCGAAGTATGTTAAGTCTTTGGTCATTGCTTTAATGTCCTGCTTTGGCAGGTAGTGAATCACCATAGACAGCGAGGTTCGCATTGTACTACCAATGGTTGAAAACTCGCTCCATTGTGGCAGGAGGGACACTAGTTAAAGTGCTCTGTTCTTCACCGTTATTCGATATCATTCTTATGCATAAGTTATACCCTTTTAAATAAACCGATGTAGAAAGCACACTGACGAAGCAGCTATTTAAATCAATATTTAGTAATTCGATACTGCTTTAAAAATAATACACCTGGCGACGGGTAGTGTCCACAGTTGGG